ACATGTTCAATTAATGCAGGGCGACGCATTGATAAGCTTAGGAAATACACTGCAGATAGAAGAGGTGCAGCAGTGAACAAACTCATTTATCCTCCTCAGCTTGGCTTCCACAGACTTATTGTGAAGGAGGTCGGAATGAACGAGATTTTTCCATCAGCCAAGGGAAGATCAAATATGTTTCTTCTGCATTTGTACTTGCCTTGGTGTCATTGGGAGTGAGAGGGAGAGGTGGGAAGTAGAAGGAAAGAAGGGAGGGACTGTGGTTGGCAATGCTACTTGAATGCTGGCCATATCTCAGTGACCACAACTAAGTGATTCTTTTCCCACATTTCACAAAATGTAGTGGGCGATAATGGGATCATAATCACTGATGTCTAAAGAGGTGTGAAACAGGCACCAACACACGTCTGGTTCACCAGTTGAGGTCAGTTTAAACCACACGTCGGGTGGTTAAGTGTGGTTTTTAACCATGGTGTAGGGGGAAGGGAAATTGTTATTGACGGACTTAGAGTGCCACCAAAGCACTAAGATGTGGAATCGAGTGGAGGCTGTTTAGAGAAAGAACTGAAGATAGACCTTCTGGCCAGTTATGAAATCCTATATGATGAGTAGGAGTGAGAGATCAGTGAAGGGTAAGCACTGGCTTCTTATCCAACTGCCTTATTTGCAGGTAATGCAGTCTGATAGGCCTAAATGAAATTTGTCAAAGGAGAGTAAACGCCTATCATTGATATACGATCAGATTAAAGGCAGTCGTTTGTAGCAAATTGAAAGGGTAGGGAGTACTTTACATCCGACCGTCACCACTAAGAGTAAAGCATGATTAATTTGTTGGGATTTAAAATAGGATATTGGGTAGGAATGTGAATCATATCCATTGACACGTTAGCCAAGACTGCGCTGCGAACCTGCGGCAACATCCACATCCACTTTCCCACAAGTCAGACTTAAGAGACAGTTCCTGCATTGCAATGGCCAGTGGATCGGAAACTGCCTCCCCTCTTTGGTGTGTTCTCATCTGGCCTATTTGGATTGATGATTCAGGAGGAAGTGATGGCACTTCCTTATCCGCAACATCAATATCCGTGGTTAAGTCAACATTTCCTAGTCCACAATGTGAAGCACTTTGTTTCCCATCCCTGGATAATAAGGAACTCGTCCCTTTTGGCAAAATAGGCTTCAGTTCACCACTTTGGGTGCAGCAAGGTGTTGATTACTCCTTAAGTAGAGGGGAAGCAAAAAACGGGTTGCGAAACAAATCCTGCAGCCTTCTCACTCTCCATGACCACTCACTGTG